GCACCAGATCGAGATACCGAGAGCCCGCTTCAGCCCAGGTGCGCCCCAACCGATGCGTCTCCCATGGACACTTCCTTGAACGATACAACCAAGTGCTGAGAGCGGTCATTCCTGGGCGAGCAACATGATGTGCAATTTTGCTCCTTGCTCTGAATGCCAACCAAGAGTATAGCAGGTATGCTAGCGTGGATGTGTGTATTCACGATCAGAGAATCTACATACTTACGAACAGTGTGGTCGAAGAGTCGAAGAGTAAGTACCGCAAAAGAGTAAAAACCAGCCTGCTCTTCACTAAGTCCGAAATCTTGGCAGAGATGTGCACTGGCGCGCCTCAAACACATTCAATGAATACTTCTGGAAGGCAGGGGCTGCGGTGAAACCATAATCCAAGGCCAAGGTTCGGTGGATCATTGGGGTGCAATGCATGACTCTGTTGAAATGGTTCGAGAGCTTATGCCTTGGATTCAGAGAGATAAGGGTCATCGGCGTCACACGTCGGAAGATGCAAAAGACGGCACATCTGTTTCGGGCAGGCAGCAGATCGTCTCGCCGAAGCAGCACCGCAGCTCCCTTGGAGCTGAGGTATTGCGCCGCGGCTTGCAAGGGACCACCCTCGTCAGCAGACAAGCACAGTCTCAAGTGATTGTTCATGGCCAACCCCGGAGAATCCCAACTGGCTTGCCCGGTTTTCGTATTCCATAGGTAGTGCCGGGTCTTGCCGCCCTGCTCCGTCTTGAGTCGACACTCCTCTCCCGGTATCTGGGCTCTGTACGGAATGGCTGGCATCAAATGATCCAGCGAGAACCCGACCTGTTCTGCGATGTGAGCGACAGCCTTGAGCTCCTCACGGGAAGCTAGCCTCTCTTGCTTCATTTTGCTGAGCATGCGTGGCCTTGGTGGAGAAAGCAGACCCCCACCAGTCTATCGACACAGCCCTATGCTAGTATGTTTGTAGCTTTCCCTAGCCGGCCCTCCTAACTTTGAGTTCAATATTTGTTTTACAACCCCTAAACCCCAGAGCCCAAACCGCTCCGGTGTTGTGTGTGTGACAGTGCTTGTTCGTGAACACACGAACCCTCCATCAGATCCGAGCCGCTGCTTGGGCTTCTGTTGCCCACTCTTGTTGCGTGCAGCGACTGCATTTGCAAACAGCTCGTTGTTGAGCCTGTTGGCTTCTTGCATTTTTTCTTCATGGGAAAGGGTGGTTGGAAGAAGATCTGAAAGCTTCTGAGGCGTGAAGACGGTAACCATTTTCCCGCAGCTGAGCATCGGGAGCCAGACCTCATTCCGAAGCAGGCAGCCACGTCGGGAGTCCCACTACTCATTATCTTAAAATGCCGTCGCTTATTGCTGTCGTGTTGCTTCCAGTCGTCCCTTGGGCGAAGCATCGCACATGATGTGTAGCGATCGGCATGTCATGCCCTGGATGGCCTGATAAGGGACTCCAGCAGTAGTACTAGGTGCAGTAGTACTAGTCGTCTTCGTCGTTGTCGTCGCAGTGGTAGTCGTGCCAATAGTAGTGGCAGCAGAAGTCGTAGTAGTAGTAGTAGTAGTAGCAGCAGTAGTAGTAGTAGCAGCAGCAGCAGCAGCAGGAGCAGGAGGAGTAGTAGTAGTAGTAGTAGTAGTATAGTAATAGTAGTAGTAGTAGTAGTAGTAGTAGTAGAAGCAGGAGGAGTAGGAGGAGTAGGAGTAGGAGTAGGAGTAGGAGTAGGAGTAGGAGTAGGAGTAGGAGTAGGAGTAGGAGTAGGAGTAGGAGTAGGTTTAGCAGTAGCAGTAACAGCAGTAGTAGTAGCAGCAGCAGCAGGAGTAGCATCAGCAGCAGGAGTAGTAGTAGTAGTAGTAGTAGTAGTAGTAGAAGTAGTAGTAGTAGAAGTAGTAGTAGTAGTAGTAGTAGTAGTAGTAGTAGGAGTAGTAGGAGTAGTGGCAGCAGCAGCAGCAGCAGCAGCAGCAGCGGCAGCAGCAGCAGTAGCAGTTCCAAGTCGCATTCATCGCTGACGACAGAAGTAATCTCCCGTGGACAACAGATCCGTGTAACCGAACTTGTGACCCAAGATGACGACTGTGAATGGATGAGTTGCTCTGCCTGCACAGGATCAGATCTGCAATGAAGAGGCAAGCTTGGATAGCTTCAGGGGCATGCAGAGAAATCGCCGACAGAGCATTAACATGAGGCAAGTACTTGAAGCGGACGCCGAAGCACCGTTTGATGAAACTAAGCACGGGCAAGTGGTCCATGTTCTGAAACCGACTTGTCAGCCTGAGCCGGAGGCGCGATGGGCCGGTGGTGAATTCGCCTGCCTTATGTGCTCCTACTTCAATGTTGAGGGCCGTTGAGGGTCTGGAGTAGATGGAATCTTGTCCCAGCATCACTGCTGTCTTCAATCAGAGCTCAGATTCCGGCGTCTTTGTGTGCTGTTGTGGTTGCTGAATGCAGCACCTGACTGTGTCCTCGACCAACCTTTGATGGCGTCACACACGATACCAGCGGCTTCAGAGTTTCAGCGCTATTCAGGCACAGGTACTTCGTAATTTCTGTTCAACCATGTTGAGATTATGCTCACGTGCTTTCCTCGCTCGGCCTCCTGGAACAAGTCAGTCTCGGCACCACTGCTGAGGTGCCTGGCAGCCCTCGGCTACGTGCTTTGGCGGCAGGGCACCAGGTTGAGGGAAGTTCAAATTCTGGATCATCCGACGATTTCCGAGGATTGCAGTTGGCGGTAGTTGAGCCTTGCGTGTGCAGCTCCATGTTGTCAAATTCTGAAGCCGATGGTAGAAGCCTTCAAGTTTGCATGTGCTCGCCCGCTCAGAGCCGTGGTTCAAGCCCCAAAGGAGGGTTTGCAGAATTTTGCAGCCGAGCCAAGCATCATCAAATCGCAGGCACAGTTCAGATGAGCGAACAGTCGATGCTGCATTGAGGTCTGCAGCCACCTCATGCCTCTTGTTTCACAGCCCTTTCCATTTCCATAAAAAAAGTAGCTTAGAGCTCGCCCCTCGGGGGATGACACATGTAAAGCCTGCAGACTCTTGGCAGACGGGACAGAGGATTGAGTTAAGAGGCAGTAAAGCATGGATTTGGAAGGCTTGAGGCCAACTTTGAGTTTCTTGACGCCGCCACCCACGTGGTGCTCATGTAGGGGGTGCGTCTGTGCTGACGGCCGTCTAAGGAAGGGCTTTGCAAAGAAGGTGAGACTGTCACGACTCCAGGTCTAAGTCTTTGAAGTCTTGAAAGCAAAAGCCCAGCGCGTGTGCTTTAACCGAGGAGGTGGCAGCGCCCCCTTTTACGAGCTTCCCGGACTACTCGAAGATCAATGAGGAGTGACTCGGCCCAAGTCCCCAAGGCGCAGAGTCGACAGAAGTGAGCGTGACGCGACGCTGCGCTCAGGTCCTTTAACGGTGTTCGCGAGGACCGGCTTAGCTGTGCTCTGCCATCCTGCATAGGTGTACGGTGGATGGAGTCTGCAAGCCAGAAAGTTCTTGACGAACCAGAATCCACGTGCGGTATCACGCACGGACTTGCAATGCTTATATCCTGAGCATGTACCAGGGCCACTGTGTATGAGAATTTGCACAGAATTCTGATGGCGCACTGGGCAGATCTCTGAAAATAGGAGGCCGTCAGGTTTATGTGCCAGACTGGAGCGATTTCCGGATCTGCAGGACACCTTCTCCACGCCGCGGCCGAAGAGCGGCCGTGCGGCGAGGGCCTCACCAGGCTCGATGGGATCAAGGAAGGGCTCCAAGCCCTACCCCCTCCATCCTGGGTCCGTGGCTGAGTTCAGTTCCTCGCGGTTTAGGGTTTAGGGTTTAGGGTTTAGGGTTTAGGGTTTAGGGTTAAGCAGGTTTTTTTTTTTATACTGCTAGCGCCATGGTAAATTATGAACCATGACTGATGAAGGTGCAGGAGGGTTCAGGAAGGTTTTTCCGGGGTCTCGGTTACCGGGTTGCAGGAACCTGAAGCATGGTTTGGCATTTAAGCTTGGGGTTTAGGATTGGTTAGGGGGTTCGGTAGGGGGTTTGCAGGGGGGTTTAGAAAGGTTTAGCGTTTAATGAGGGGTTCACTTGTTAGGGAGCTTTCCGATCCCCGAAAACATCGAAATCGAAACCAAAGCCCGGTGACTCCAACATCATTGCCAAGACCAAAAGTTGTCATTTCCTTCACCCTACATCGCCCTCACGCTGAAAGGAGCCATGACAAAAGCGAATCCGCCCGAATCCTGAGAACTGTAAAGAGGACGCCCAAAGAACACAGAGTCCTGTATTATCATTAGCCCCGTTCTAAACGGTTTCGTGGGTCATAGGCCATAGGCTTCAGGCAAGCCAGGGGGTTTAAACATGTATGGGATGCCAGGTGGAGAGAAGCGTTGGGGGGTCGTCGATAACATGTCGATCAAGGACTGCACCGACTTGAACTCTGCACTTTTGTTATCACTTGGTAAGAGTCAGGCATTTGGGGCTCTTGCCAGTGTTGGAAGCATGATCTTGGATTTCAGGGGTAGCTGCTTTTGCACGAAGACTTTTGGATACCACCAAAATGACAAGAGAAGCTGGAATCGACACTTGCAGATCGGGGAGCCGGAGGCTCGAAGTTTGGGGATCCGTGGTGTCGTTCTTAACGGCATGGTGAACCTAGGTCCCGAAGTTCCTGTGCTGCGATCCCGAGTCGTTTTTATCCCCTACCTGTTTGTCTGCTTCACTGCTTCTGCGTCCCTAGAGAATCACCGGTTGGGTGCATCGAGGACCCCCTGTGGGTTTGCGATCAAGCCTTCACCAAGAATGCTCGGAACCTCTGTGCCTGGCCGGAGAAAGCTGCAGCTCAGACTCTAGCAGGTAGTCTTGTTGAATTTTGCCCGCGTTCGAGGTAGCTGTAGCTGGCAAAAATGCCAACGCATAAAGGCACTTCAGGGAGGCCTTTCTTGTGTGCAAAGAGTGGATTGACTTGCGTTGAGTGGCCTCCTCCACACTGGCTCGAGAGAAAAATCAATTTGGGGCAGCATGCTGAGGTGCCGAGCTCTGCAGCAGCGTGCGGAAAGAATTCGAGCTTGAGCGGGCTCAAATCAGGTCCTTCGCAGGTTTGCTTGTGGTTAGCCTGCTCGTTTTTCTTTTTGTTCATTTCCATTGGGTTCGAGTTCACGGGAGTGGCATAATCAAAGTCTATCATGCCTGCCATAAGCGGCCACAGCGCATCCAGGCACGATGTGGTGCAACCCGTGGCTGCGCTGACCGCGGCCTTGGATCGGCTTCCTTCTAGGCCGAAACGAAAAGCTGGAGTTAGAATCAAGAACCACGTGCCACAAGAGCAAATGCTGCTATCTGCTATCTGCCACCTACCATCATCCCTGTCGATTTGGGAAGGCTGGATGATCCTCTGAAGCGCATTGTCAAATCGGAGGTCCTTCCCTACCTTGAGCCGCAAGACCTGCAATTTTTCAGGGGGGAAGCTTCAGGAGTTCTTCAAAGGATCGTTCCGCGGCTCCTTGCGTCCTCCGAGTTGGGAGAAGGGACCGTAGCAGCTTGTGTGCGCTGTCCCGCCAAGGTCCTATGCTGCCACCGCGAACCGCTTGGAGGGTGACCTCTCAGCCGGATGCATAGTTTTCGTTCCAGCGTCACTCGCTCGGGCGATTAGGACGTGAGAGCACGGGACAGGAGGACTTCAGGGCTCCGGGGCTCAAGCTCTGTGGACATAGATCTGTGACGAATCCTCATGTAGCTGGCTCTGCAAAAGCATGTCCTGCTCCCAGTCCCGGTTCACGTCCGTCGAGTCCAAGCTGGAGGAAGTGGAGAATCAGCAGAGGCAGGCAATGCCCCTTGATACTGCTTCCACGATCGTCGCTAGGCGCTTCAGCAAAGATCGATTTGGGGCTTGGTTGGGGCAGCCACGTGGAGCCAGGCGGGCTATCAAGACAAACGAGAAGATGATCGCTGATGACGCGGCTCACACGCAGGAGTCTGGTTCTCGCAGCTCCTACGCCCCCGAATCATGTTAGTTGTGACTGCAAGCCACGCCGGAGTGGAGCCTGCGAAAGCATGCCCAACCAGAAGGGAGCAAGCAACCATTTGCAAGAGTACAGGGTTGTTTCATGAGTATGAGCTGTGGAAGAGAAGTCCGAAAGACAATCGGATGTCACCGAGAGGACATCCTGTCGCAGCTGCGCAGCGTTCACTCTCAAGTCATGGATGGACACCTGCCTGAAGCCAGCCATGTGAGTTAGACCTGGGACATGAGGGCTAAGAACGCTTTGGCTCTCCAGTTTCTCCTGTAAGGCTCCACATAGCTACCCCAGACCTGGCAACCTCCAGATGACTTTCAGGGACACGCAAGTGAGACTTGCAAAGGTGACCGCTGCACTAGACTGGATTCCACAGTTCACCGAGGCGCGAGCAGCACGAGCAGCGACCTCCAGCAGGTCTTGCAGGCTCCGCCCCGAGCCGCGCTCTTTGTAGGGAGCCAGTGCTCAGAGCGCAGGCTGGCCACGACCTGCAGGGCGTGCTGGAGCAGAAGGCGGGGGCAGGGTGGTGCCAAGGTGGCACAAAACGACTCAGACATATACCGCTTTCCAATGCTGAAAGACTCTGAGACAGGTGGATGCCTTGCTCTGGAAGCACACCAAGCAGCAGCCGGTGCTTGTCGATTTCAGTCCCTCGGCCTTCGCAGATCGGGGCAGCATCTGTTGAGGCTAAAGCAAGGTCTCTCTTCCTTTCTAAAGGAAAGCGGAGCCCCAAGAGCCTCAGGTCCAAGTGCTCAAGCCGACCAGTGCTAGAAGGAGCGAAGGAGCAGCGAAGCCTAGCGAAGCCACAACACAAGGCCACCTCTTAGAACTGCCTTGATCTCACAAAGTTTGCAGGTCGCATGAGCAGTCGCGGTTTTCAGCCCCAGGTCTTTTGGAGCTGTCTCGGCCACAAGCCGAAGAGGACGGTGTTAAGATCAGCAAGCTTGGGGCCTTTGTGCGTCCCAGGCAGGTGTGGTCGAAGTTGCGGTCAGAAATCGCTTGCACACATCATCGACCTGCAAAGGGGAGTACATACCCTCAAGCCTTATAAGCCTTATGGTAACCCTAAGCCCTCAACCCAATAGGCTGCTCTTCAGGCACATCTCCAACCCTAAAGTCTAAAGCCGCAAATTCTTGGAAAGGAGAGGCTGCTACCTGGACCGTGTGAAAACTGGAACCCAGTGAGATCGTTTGTGGAGTTTTGTATGGCCAATGGAATTTGTTCTGGTTTGTTTCGGGCTGTACGGTTTCAATCGCTGCCTGCGAGAGGAGTCGGAGATTCTCAGAGTCACGTCGGAGCTTGCTTCAAAGGCCGACGAGGGTTGTGTACCACGCTTAATGCTCCAAAGTGATTACAACTCTGTCTTCTACTGCTTGCCTGCCACTGGGACAGCGACTGCGACTGCGAACTGCGAACTGCGACGACTGCTGCTGCATGGTACTGCTACTGCTACTGCCAGTG